TAAATATTTGTTTCTGAACATCTGCACTTGCCATGTATCTCCCTTTGCTTCCACAAATTCCCTCTGCACTGTTTAAAACCTGCTTTTTCCAGGAACTTTCAAAATAATTTTATTTGACAGCATTCAGATTTTTCACTTCTCTATTAACAGTTCTCTATCTCTGGTTTTGTTTCTTTTACTTATTTTTTTACACAACCAGTTTACACAAGATAGAATAGATTTCTGGCAAGTATACAAACTGTGGAGTAAGTAGTTAAGGGCTAGAGTGAAGGCTATCATTACAAGGGACCTAAGCTCCTTCTATCTCATTGTTCAATTGTATATGACTTTCCTTCCAAGTCCATCTTATGGTCCAACATGGACGCTGGAGTGCCAGCCATTCTATCTTCATTACAGCTACCATGCCTGTGTTAAGAGCCAGCAAGAATGAAGAAATAATATAGGACATTCCTCCTTCTTTTAAAAGCATTTACCTAGAATCTACAATGATCTCAAAATAAAAATTTTAACTGAACAAAAAAACACCATCACTTTCCCAAAGTTGCACACACATCTAATTGGCCAGACTCACTTAGTCACATGACCACACCTAACCCTAAGGAAAGCTGTAAAATCTAGTCTTTCTGTTGGGTGGTTACGGGCTTAATTAAAATTCAGAGAATTACTAAAGTATAAAATGGATATTGGGAGACAACTGGCTATTTCTGCCAGTGGCTGTAGACTGTCCCCTACAGTCTACAGCAGCCAGTGATCCCTTCAAGACATAAACCAGATCATATCACAGCCTTTCATAAAATCTTCCAATACAGTCCCATTGCATTGAGAGTAAATCCATACCCCCTACTCTGACTTCAGAGGTCCTATGTGATTTAGCATCTAACCACTTCCCTGACCTCCCGATTGCTACTTATCGCTATACAGGCCTTCTTCCCATTACTTCAATATACCAAGCTACTTCTTGCCTTAGGGACTAGCTTATTCCTTTTGCCTAGAATCTCTCTGCATGGCTGGTTCCTTCCTGTCATTCAGGTCTTGTGAAGACTTCCTGACTTCTAAAGAAGCTCTACATTTTCTCCTTCATCCTGTTTTATTATATAAATATTTTAATTATTATTTATATCACTTGATATTTTGCTTATTATTTGTCAGTTCCTACTAGAAAGAGAAGCCTTGTCTGATTCATGGATGCATCCCTAGTGACTAAAAGATTGCCTAGCCCACGACAGCATTCAATAAAAATTAGATGAATACCTGAAATGACTAAGCATGATCCTGATTACGTCCTTTTTGTAACTATAACATACAGTGCGGAGTCCTGCATCAACAAATGAGAAGCACACATCTTGGTTAACAGTAGTCACACAGATGACCCAGCTTCTTTTATCAAGCATAAATCAAGGGACAGGAAAAGAACTGATTTTTTTTCTTTTCTTTTCAGATACCCAGCCACTAAGCTTACTTTTCTCAAGCTGGCTCAATTTACCTCTGTTAGTAATTAAAGGTGCCTCTTTCCAATAAGCCCTCCTGTTTTAAGCACCGAAGTGGTAAATGAAAGGTTTGTAGAATCTATCACGAGATGCCAGATGTAACAAAGGCCTAACTCGTCTCCTTGCTCTTTACTATCTTCGATAATGAAAGCAGGATGGAGTTCGATGAGAGTCCAGTAGTACTTGAGGTAGTAGTAACTTGTTTTTGATTAACCATGTTCCACAGAACAGAGTACCCAAATTTAATCAAACTCAATTTTACTTATTAGCTAAGAAAGAAGATGGACTTGGCAAACTTTGGGATCACTCCAACCTACACATGCTAATCACACTGCCAACCACTTTAAGAATGAGTAACTGTAGCAGAAGTGCTTTCTTCCCTGCAGGATGTGACAACCTCCTTGCTGGCCAAGTGCTCCTAAGAGGGCAGTTTTGTATGTTCTCGTTTTATAGGAGTCTTCTTTAGACATTCACAGCAACAAATTTTAATGTGACCAGGTCACATTTTAAAGAGTGTTATCTTCTCACCCACTAGTGCTGTAATTTCCAACATATGAGTCCAGGCATATTTAAACCAACATGTTTTAATGTCATTTTGCCTAAGAAGAATTGAACTTTCAGATTACTACACCGCAATTTTGTGAGTGATATAACAAACATGTTAAAAAGTATGTTTTGGGAGGCCACTATGATGAGTCTTTGAGAGGGTGAAGTCCCTCACCAATCACAGCAACCTTGCTCTTATCGATTACCTTTGCTTAGTTTTTAAGTATCCCCTCAGAAGGGTTCCTTTTGAGGAAGTTCTGTTAAGGAAAGTTTGCAAACCAATGGACCTTAGGGTTCCCCTTTCCAACTCAAAAACCGTAATAACTGGGATTTCATAGTGATTCAGGGACACATTTTCAAACATCAAGAATCACTCTGCAAGGAGCATAAATTTAAAAATGAGACTGAAAAAAAAAAAAAAACAAAACGATAGGAGACTGCTGAATGGGTAGTAACCAAAAACAGAATTTGAGAGTTTAAAACTTTGGATATGAACTTTATTTATAGTTTATCTTTTTTCTAGCTTATTCCAAAAAGGCCTGAAAGTGATTTGAACTTGTTTTGTAATGCACATATGTGTGTATTATAAGGCTGCATCTTTTTTCTACAGGTGAATTTGGTTTCAAAACAGATAAACTGGATTCTAGTTTGAGGATTTACTACAATAAAACCAGTGTTTAGTCAGACTTCAATTTTCAGCCTTAAAACATTTCTCCTATTCCTGGGAGAAAAAGTAAAAAAGTTAATTTTTAACAAGACTGTGCTTTAAAACTTCACTATTAAAGGGACAGCTTTCCAGTACCACACATATTTTTGTATAGTTTACTAATTTTTGGATGAGGCATGAGAATGATAGACAGGAGTTAATTTTTGTCAGTCTCAGGTAAGATTTTAAAAATATAGTGCCGAGGGATATTTATGCTGTTACACAACAAATTTTACAGCAGTTTATACAGTTTAAATATAACTGAGTCTAATAAGATTCTCCCAAAGTGTGATGACTGAATAAAACAGTAAAAAAATGGGTTTATAATACTAATGCAATATTTTCATGTGACTATGATGCTTACTTAACTTTGACAGAAAGTTAAATCAAATTTTATAAGACCCAGAGGGATCATAAACAGTTAAAAGTGAATTATTCAGTTTTAACAACACATGAAAGGTTTAAAAAGCCTAGTAGAGTTATCCTTTTGTTCTCACTGCTGAGAGTAAAACAAAAAGAATCAATGGCATCTTAAAGAAAATTACCTTCTACTTAAGATCTCACACACTCATTATGGATGATTTGTTTTAGTAGAAACTGACCATAATACTGCAAACAAGGCTTTTGGTAGGCAATATCTATAATTATGCAAATATTAAATAACTGCTTCTGATAAGAACCTCTTCAGTATTGAAGCAATTCACCTTACAGGATACTTAAGGGCTGCTTTTTCATGCCTTGATGCACACAATGAATGCGAGCACTAGGAAAATCCAGTATTTTTCCAAAAGATAATTTTTTAAAATTAAAAAAAAAACACCAAACAATTTCTGTATAGGTAACACACACATTTGGTTAAAAAAATCAAGGGCTACAAATGGGGGTGCAGTGAAACAGAAGTCTTCCCGGACCTCACTCTGATCTCTATCTCCCAGATTCCCGTCTCAGAATCAACTTTTGTTAATTTCTTGAATCTTTCCAGACCAATTCCCCATATTTACAAGCACACACACAAACTTTAGAAGACTTAAAAATAGCTTGTTTCATCTCTAGCAAGCCTACAACAACTGAGTTTGAGCTTTGAAAATACGCTAGCATGTAAAACAAGTGTAGGTTTTAGTGTACACTAAAAAGAAAAGCCAGATACTACGTTGTTTCCACTGTTGGCTCTGCCTTCACCACAGAACCCTTTCCTGAAAGGTGCAAGAGCTAAATCCTTCACCACAGTGGCCAGAGAGGGCAGTATGTACCAACGACAAAGGCAAAGGCAGAAAAGCTGCAAATCCCTTCAGGATTCAGGAGGACCAGCAATTCTGTCCTATCCAGCTCAGTTCCCTGAAGTTCCGCGGGTAAAGCTGTGTAACAGGGCTAACTGATTTCTCCTTAGGGGGCTACCCAAACGGACTGTCATGATGTTGATAACCATAAAGCAATCAGGACAATGAAGCAAATTTGGATAATGAGCACTATCAGAAAACCTACTGTGCATATTATGATTTATTTTGGAAGAATAAAACAGTCTTAATTTCCAAGGAATGGCTACATAAATTAGGATTTACAGATAGGAAAACTATACGAAATTAACATCAGAGTTTTAAATTTTAATTTAATGAAGGAATCACTAAGAATTCATGGGGTGATGTGAAATATTCATTAGGTAGAAAGTCCTAAGTTACCTTAGTACCAACTGTACCTGTAAGTATACCGTTAGGTAAACATTTGAAATTAAACTGCTGAAATCTCAATGATGAATTTAGGAAAATCTGGAAGGCAGGCAACTGTCCAGTTAAAATTAAAAGCAAAATTATACTGAATTTTCTAATAAACAAATTATAAAAAAGTGTTAATATGGAATGGGAAAAAACACCCAACATTTGTCACTGTACAAATACCAGGATACAATGAGCTATATGTGACACTGCTAATACCTTAACTCCTTACCCAATATAAAAAAGAGAGTATTTCATAGCATTAACAACGTACAGCCATTCAGTTTTCAATTTAAATCAGTAGGGGAAAAGGGAAGCCCTTTTTTTGGTGGTGGTGTTTCCTTTCCTCTGACGACTGAAAAAGGATTTATTCAGTCCGAGTTTCGGAAGCAACTTTGTATCACAACCTTAATTGTCTATGCATATAAATTTCAGTCTAAAATAACACCTCCAGGAAAATGCAAAGCAGCTAGAGCCTGTTTGGGAGCTTTGTGCACTTGGCAAGCCCACTGTTTCAATTCCCGGTACAACAAATCAGAAAGAACCACACACCAGCGGCACGGTATTCCGAGGTCCCGGGAAGCGCCGGGGCGCGGCCGCGAGCAGCGGGCTCCGGGCCGGGCCGGGCCGGGTCGCGGCGCCCGCAGTGGTGCCGCAGCCTCCGCGGCCGCAGCAGGTAGGACCCGGTCCGGCCCGCAGGCCGTTCCGCCACCCGCCAGCGCGGGGCTTTTCCAGAGCTGCTCCGCGACGCCTCGGCTGGGGCTCTTATTGTTCGCGTGGAATGACTTTCTGTCATGAAATGCTGAAAAAGACCGGCCTAAGCCCCACTTACACGAACCCCACAACTTTGCGAAGCGATGCGCGGAACTGTTAGAGGCGCGAGGACACGGCTCGGAGGGCTCCGCCGGGCCGCTGCTTCCCGTTCTACCGCGCGTTCCCACCAGTGCCCCCCGGAGCCTGCCAGACACGCAGAGGGCTGGGGGAGAGGCGCTTGGAGAGCAAGTCAATCAGGGTGGGCGCCAGAGCTCCGTGGTCCGCGCGGACCAGACAAAGAGGCGCGTCCGGCGCCCGGCGCCGGGGAGGGACGCGAAGACGCCGGCCTCGGCCCGCAGGGGGCGCCGTCCGCGGCCCCCGGCGCTTACCTTTGAGGACCGCGCAGAGCTGCTCCAGGGCCATGTTC